GCACAGGGGGCCCAAAGGGAAAACCTCACCAAAAAAAAAAAAAAAAAAAAGCATAACCCAGTCTAGTAGGTAACTCCATTTCCCAACTTCTCATGTTCCTTTTGTGAGAGCATACAGTGGCAGCTTCCAGCAGTTTTCATGTAGCCTGGGTGTAAGTTTCACCTATAACGTTTTCCAAACTTACGGTGGTCTTGCTATTTCTGTCTCTATAGGGTGTTCTGTTTTATTATTCTTTGTGAGGTTTCACAAACTCTAATGTCTACTGAAGCCGTGTAAGTAACGCAATGAGTGAAATGGGCCAGGAGGGACTGTAATTCCTGGGAGTGGAGATAGGAACACACCGTTGTCAGATTGACAGCTCATTTTTGAGAGAAGCCAGAAATCTGGTATTCGCATATGTGCAAACTTGCAAATCATCCTAGGGACTGAACACACACATATCTGCTGTGTCCAGCCCAGAGACCCACTGCACAGCCTGTGTTCTACATGACCTTAGGAATTCTCTGACCTAGTCTGCTGTAATTCTAGAACATTCTGTGTCCAGTGAGAAGTTTTCACCTAATACCAGTCTTCACTTGGGACGCTGTATTGCTAATTTACCTTCGTGACCGTTTTCAGCATTAAGGGTTGCAACTGTGTTTCACCAGAGTGCTGGTTTTCTTTATTCACACTTTGGCAGGTCCCATTTTCAATACTGGATCTCTTAAGCAGTGAGGGACAGAGAATACTGACCTGCGATGCCCTGTTGGCACTTCCGTCTTCTCTGCTAGGTGAATGAGGGACAGCTGCACCCAGTGCTGGCTGTAGCGTCATTCCTTCTGCATCCCTCTGAGCCCCTTCATCCCCTTCTCCTATAGCTCATTCTGTTTCCTCAGTGCAAGTTCTGTGGTGTGAACGTAGTAAGCTGCTTGTAAGTTAACTGAAGAAAGTGGTGAAAGTAACAGGGAACTAGAAGTAGCAAGTCACATGCTCCTTGCTTATTTTCAAGCCTGATCCTTTTCTAGGCATCTAGTGTTCTTTTTTTTTTTTTTTAAAGAATTATCTTACTTAACTTTATTTTAATTTGACCAGAGAGGAGCAAGGAGGGAGAGAGAGAGGAAGAAAGTGAGAAAGCAAGCTGCTAGGTCTGGGACTCGAACTGTGGTCAGTCACATGGGAGTCCAGCATCCTTAATCACCACATCACCTCCTGGCCCCCAGGTATCTCGAGTTCTAATAAAACCTTTGGTAAGCAGGCCGGCTCTCGGTAATCACTAACAGCGTATCACCTGTGTATGCAGAGCAGCCACGGAAAGGCTCCTGCGGATTCAAGCACCTTTTTCTGGTTGGAATGTCTGCCTGACTTCGCTCAGTTCCCTGTCTCCCTGGAAGTTCCTGTGGCTTTACAGGCTCGGGCTGCCCTGACGAGAACCCCAGAAAAGCCCTAGAGAGCCGCGAAGCCTGACTTCCGTGTGCTTGGTCTCCTCAAGGGGAAGATCCAGGTGGTGGTTTGCATCATCATGGGCACACGTGACGACCTCTACGGGGCTATCAAGAAGCTGTGCTGCGTGCAGTCCCCGGTGCCCTCCCAGGTGAGCAGGGAGGGCCGGGAGCAGAGGGGCCCATGTTCATAAGGAGCCAGTGTGTGCTGAGGCTTCTGGGGAGACTCCCAGTTAGAGGGACCTGGCAGATAGCTCTTCAGAAACAAAGCCTGCCTGTTCCCAGGGCAGCACGGCTTCCTCAGTGTCGCCAGGTAGTTTCACATGGCTGACTTCTAAGCATATAGCCTTCTCTTCGAAAGGGGAAAGTGGTTTTTCCCACAGGAGTTTTAAAAATTCTACTCTGCTTGAGATCTTTTCAAAAGGTTTTGTTTGTTGATTATTTCGTTTTTGGTTTGTGGTGCTGTGCACACATGCCCTGGAAGCCCTGGAACTGTTCATGTATGACGTTCATCTGCTAGCTTACACAAGTGTGCCATTTATGAGTGGTGGGTACTGTCCTGCTCCCCTCACACCTTCTGGAATCTTCCTCCTAGGTCATCAATGTCCGAACCATTGGACAGCCCACCAGGCTGCGGAGTGTGGCCCAGAAAATCTTACTTCAGATCAATTGTAAATTGGGTGGTGAACTCTGGGGAGTGGATATTCCTCTGGTGAGTGATGCTGAAATACGTCTTCATTTAGTTCAGCTTTCCAGAGAACCCCATCTAGTGGGTTCCTTCCCATTCTCAGTGCTCGTTCTGCTGGCTGAGTGGCTTGCTGCTATTCCTGCATGGCCTACCAGCTGAGAATGATTCTGACAGTTTTCAGCAGTGGAAAAAATAAGGCCATATTTCATGACGCGTGGAAATGATAGGAAATTTGGTTTTCAGTGTCCCAAAGTCGAGCTTCCCTGGAAGATGACCACACTCTTCCATGTACTGTCCGTGGCCACTTCTGTGTTACAGAGGCAGAGTCGAGTGGTCCCCAGAGACCATGTGGCTCAGAAAGCCTAAGGTGCTTACCCTTTAGTCCTTTAAAGGAAAAGTTTGATGATCCCTACTTCATGTTTAGAAGTCGGGTCGGCTGCCGTCTTTCTGTTCCTTTCCCCCAACTTGCTTTCATATGTAGGGCAGGTTGCTTTGGGGTTGCAGTAATAATCAGAGACAGAGCATGGATTGCTTAGGGTTGGGGTTGCTTTTTTGTTTTTGCTTTCTAACCTAGAAACAGTTAATGGTGATCGGGATGGATGTTTACCATGACCCCAGCAGAGGCATGCGCTCTGTGGTCGGCTTCGTCGCAAGCATCAATCTGTAAGTGTGCCCCTCGCTCTTTGTGGTTTGGGTACCTTCGTGCTGCCTGGTCGTAAGTGCGCAGGTGTGTCTGGGCCTCCCGTTTCAGTGTCAGCGCTGAGCTGCTCTGCCTTCCGTGACGGGGTGTGCAGCCTGTTCATCCGACTCGGCAGTCCGCACCGCAGAGGCACTGCAGGCTCCTCCAGGGTGGGGCTCACGGGACTCAGTCTGCCTCAGAGGCACTGCAGGCTCCTCCAGGACAGGGCTGGGCCTCTTGCTGGCTTCGCCCCCTGAAGTGATGTGTGTTTTTGTTTGTTCCGATGATAAAGATAAAACATGCTCATTCCAAGCCGAGACTTGGGAAGCGAGTGCCTCGTGGCCATCTTCCATTAACCACCACCAAAGCGTGATGTGTATGTGCTTTCAGCTGCTCCTTTATGTGTGTGTTAGCACGCACACACACAAATGTATTTACGTATTAAACATTTTCCCATATTAATGCAAATACGTCTCAAATCATTTCTTAATTGCTGCACAGAATTTATTGTATGCTACATCACTAGTTATTTATTTCTCTGTTGGATATTTAGGTTATTAAATTTCTCCTTTTGGATGCAGTTTTATAGTACATATCCACAGTTATACTTAGATTTTGTGTTCTGTGTGTGGCTTAAATAGACCTTTTCCCACATGACCATGTGTTTTCACAGAGGACATGACTGCGTTTAGTGGATAGCTGTTGTTGGGTTGACTCGTGGAGAAACTGCGTGTGCTGACCTCCAGAGCAGAGGCCTTCCTCTCTGAGGCTCACCTGTCTTCTCTCTCTCTCTGCCAACCCCACCCAGCACCCTCACAAAATGGTACTCACGAGTGGTTTTCCAGATGCCTCATCAGGAGATTGTGGATAGCCTGAAGCTGTGCCTGGTGGGCTCCTTAAAAAAGTTTTATGAGGTGAGAAGAACAGAAATTCTAAACCTGAGATTTAAAGACTACCTACCTAAACACTTGGAACAGGAAGTCTGATGTAGTGGGAGGGAGACCAGACCAAAGGTGAGTCTCTTTAATAGTCATTGCTGAACAAGCAGTTCAGTTCCTCCCTTCAGGCTTCGACTTGTAGAGATCAGCTCAAAGAGCTGAACGCTCTCGTTTGATTTGTTAAGTAATAATTATTGCCCAGGTTGTCAGCCTGATGCCTTGGACATAAGTCCTCATGCCCATATCAGGGAAATTGGGGGTAAATTTCAGTCATTAAGCAGCTTATGAATTTACTCAGCTTTTTATGACTGTCATTAGGCGCTGGCTCTTTTCATTTTGGTTCGAGACAAACGCTTTCCTGTAAGTCACTTCTAGAACTGCAAAGAATTCCAGCCACAGAGAATTGCTGTCATTAGCTGATGCTGGGTCTGGGAGAGTGAGCAAGCAAGGCACTGCTTCTGGCCTTGGCTTGTACATCAAAGGAAGCACTGATAAGGGGCTTTTGTTTCTTAGGTCAGGGTTAGCCCTGTGCACGGTGGCTACACAGCAAGAACTTCAATGATTTCATGGGACTGACGGGGCTCTTCACAACTCCACCTTGTCTTTTGGGGCCAGCAGGTGGCATAGTGGTTAAGGTGCTGGATACCCATATGGTTGACCACAATTCGAGTCCCAGACCTGGTGACTTGAAACTCATGCCAGGTACATGTGTGTGTGTGTGCCCAAAATCCCAGGAGGAGAACAGGACAGAAAGGATTGCAGCATGGCCATCCCCCTGGGGGGTGATTTCTTACTTTCCCTCTGTCTGTCTCTCTTCAGTAAGTGCACACACACCCTATGGCAAAAACTCTGAAAAAATCTATTCATTCATTGTGGGAGATGCATATATGTCCTAAGTTATTAATTGACACAGTTATTAATATTTTGACTTGAGGCTGGTCCAATACAAATACCATTGGAAAAGCTTGAAGATTCTCCCTTTTTGTGCGTGTGTGAGTTATTTATTTAATTTTATTTGTTGTTGTTGTTATTGTTATTATTTTGGCATAGGGCACATGTGCTTACCAGAGAGAGAAAAAAAAAAAATGAAAAAGCAAGCTGTCAGGTCCAGAACTCGAATAACAGTCAGCCATGTGGGAGCTCAGCACCTTAACCTGCATACCACCTGTTCCCTCTCACTGTCTCTTCTCTGATGACCACATGTGCTCTATGGCAAAATACTTTAAAAAAAAAGAAAAGAATATTTTTTATGCTGTCCTATAAATAGTTCGATACTATTCAAGTATTAGAGATTATGTTTAAAAAAATTGAGGAGGGGCCAGCAGATGGCATAGTGGTTATTTTCTTGCACACCCACATGCTGATTGTGGTTTGAGGCTCAGATCCAGTGACTTGAAAATAACATGCCCAAGATCCTGGGAGGAGAAGGGATTGTGGTGTGGCCATCACCCCTGGGGTGGTGATTTCTCACTTTCTCTCTCACTATTTCTGTCTCTGTCAGTCGTCTCTCCCACTCGCAATCCGTAAGGAAAAAGCCTCTTAAAAAAAAAAAAAAAATTGAGGGACCAGCTGGTGGAGTGGCGGTTAAGGCTCTGGATTCTACATGACCAATCGTGATTTGAGTCCCAGACCTGAGGCTTGAAAATCATGTGTGTTTGTGCCCAAAATCCCAAGAGGAGAATGGAGGAGAAAGGATTATGGCATGGCCATCCTCCTTGGGGAATGACTTCTCACTTCCCCTCACTCTGTCTCTCTCTGGCAAATGCGTGCACCTCGTGGCAAAAAAAAGGAAAAAAGTTATATGTCTCTAAGAAAGTCCGTATTATATGCTACTCTGTCACCAAGTTCTGCCAGACCTCTCTCTCTCTTGCTGTTGATAGTATTTTTCTTTCAAAGTGCTGTCTGTCTGCTCAGACCTAGTCAGAGATGACTTCTATGAAGCCTTTCTCATTTTCCTTCATAGCTCCATTCCTTAGCTAGAGTTATTTTTTTTCCTCTTTCATTTATTTATTTTTACATTTTCCACAAACATTTACTTTACATAGCAAAAAATTTTAGCTCATACTCCATAATTCTTGACAGTTAGCTAGAGTTGTTTTCATACTGTCCCACAGGCCTTCATTTATATCCTGGGTAGTGGTTATCACATCTTGCTTTGTAGGAGTTACTTGTCAGCTTACTCGCCTGTCCCACAGAGTTGAAGTTTCTTGGGCACTGTTGGGTTGCGATGGCTGTGTAACAAATGACACTAAATCCAGTTACACACAGCGAGCTTATGAGATGCTCATGGTCAGAACTTGGACAGGGCACAGTGGGGCCAGTCCTTCTCTGTGGGAACCACCTCATATGGTCGTTCCACGTGGCTCTCTGGGCTTCCTCACCACAAGGGTTCAGGACGTGACCATTCTAGAAGACCGCCAGCCAGAGGGAGCCATGTTACCTTGCATGCTCTAACCAAGGATGTCACGCAGGACACTGCTACTGCATTCTGTTTGTCCACATAGTCGCAGAGTCCTGTCAAGGTTCAAGCTGGAGGGAAATATTGAGTCGTTGAAAAAGTTATCACACGTTAAAAAAAATTTTTTTAATCCAAAAATGCATCATGACTTTTCTGACAACCCAGTATGTTTTGCTTCTTAATTGTGGAAGCACCTGTGGGACTGGTTTTTGGAAAGGAAAATCTGTTGCAAACACCAGGACTATCTTGATTATATTTCATGATTTTTGAGATGTTCACTTTTTTCCTGTTTATTTATTACCTCTATGAACCAGAGAGAGAGAGACCCATGACAATATCATAAAGCACATACAGAGAAACAGGACCACCAGCACATGATGGTGAAGGTGGCTCATCCCTCACAGCCAACGGCACCGTTCCAAAACTAGACCTGCAGCTCAAGAAACACTCTGGGTGTTTCAGAATCCTGATGAGAGGGAGTAGAAGAGAAGGGATTGCGGTGTGGTCATGCCCTGATGGAGTTGACTTCACACAGTATAGGTAAATTACAAAGTCTGGTTCAAGCTTTGTTTGATTTTTTTTAGTGTTCATAGAATTATTATAACTTAGTCACATAACATTATTGTAATTTCTTTGAAAAATGTTTTTATTTTTCTCCCTGGAGTTAGTATTTACCTCTTTTTATTTCCTTTAGTTTTCTGTATATTTATCACTAATTCTCTCAAATTCATCAAGAGACCTTTGCAACTCTTCTTGCTAACTTTAAGCACACGTGGTAATTCAGGGTTTCCTTTTTTTACCCCTTCATAGAAGCTTTTGTTATCCTGCAGCAATCTGACCGACGTGCTCCGAGTCCTCATTCTTATCTGTGGGCCTGGGGTCTCCCTCCACCATCTGGGAAGTTACTTTTGTCTTTTTTCTGGTTTGGATATCTTTATCCTTTTTAGTTTATTTCATTGTTGACTTTATTGTTTTTAGATGATTCTTCCAATAGCTGCTTTTCTTTCTTTTTTTGGGGGAGAGGTTTTTGCTATAGGGCGTGTGTGCTCGCCTGAAAGACAGAGACAGACAGAGAGACAGAAAGCGAGAAATCACGCCCCAGGGGAGATGGTCACGCCGCAATCCCTTCTTTTCCATTCTCCTCTCGGGATCTTGGGTACGCATGCATACGTTCCCGGCGTGAGTTTAAGCCACTGGGTCCGGGACTTGAACCGCAGTCAACTACATGGGAGTCCAGGGACATAGCCGTTATGCCAACTGCTGGTCCCTCCAATAGCTTCTTGATTAAAATTTTGAGAATTTTTGATATCTGAAAATAACCTTTGTTTTACCCACACACTTGACTGACCACTGGTATCTCACGTTCTGAGTTGGCAGTCATTTCATTCAGAATCTTGAAAGTACTACTCCGTTGTCTTCTAGATGTTAGTATTGGTAACACATCTCCACTTCTACGTCTTTGTATGCTTTTACTTCCTACTCTACCCCTGGTATTCTGAAATGCCACTGTATGCTTCAGTTTGGTTGGTTTCTCATTCATTGTGCTGGGTATTTATTGGGCCTTTGCAATCTAGAAATAAGCCTTTGGTTCCACATTTTTTTTTTAAGTTTTGCTATAGGGTGTACATACACTTGCCAGAGAGAGAAGGAAAGTGACAAATTACCCCCCGGGGGAAGGCCGCACCTCAGGTCAGTCTCCCATTTCTTGTGATTTTGGGTACACATGCACACCCACAGCAAGATTTTTCAAGCCACCACGTCTGGAACTTGAGCTTCTTAGTTGGCCATCCAGGACCTTAATCTCCATGCTACCTGCGGACCTCTGGTTCCACACAGTTTTCTTCTGTTATTTTTTTATGATTTTTCCTCATCAATTTCTACTTTTTTTCTGGCTTTCAGCACTCCTAATTTTAAAAAATCTCTTATTTACTACTTTTTGTATTTTTCTCATATTCTGGTTTCTAGATACTTTCCTTAACTCATCCTCCCTCCTTCTGTCCCTCCCTCTCTTTTGCCAGAGGGCTGTGGTTACACTGGGGGAAGGAGGGAGAGAGAGAGAAATAGAAAGTGAGAAAGCATCTTCCCCAACTCGCCTCCTCTCAGGGTTTTGGGCGCACACACGCACGCAGTGTGTTTCTCAGTCCCAAGGCTGGGACCCGGACAGTGCAGTCAGCCACGGAATCCAGCTGCCTTTCCACCGCGCCGCCAGCTGGCCCGTTTTTCTTCATAGCGAGTATTAATTTGACATTTTACTGTAGTTGGATTTTAGGGGCCAACGGTAAAGTTAAAGGGGATAGTTCCCAAGATTGCCCTCACTTCTGACACCACTTCCAAGTTTAGGGAGGTCCCAAGATCATGCTCTATTTTGATAGTTCACTGAAGGGATTTCCTGAATTCACTGAAAGCTGTTATATTCATGGCTGTGCATTACAGAAAAGAATGCAGACTGAAGGCAGCCAAGAGGGCCCTGAAGTACAGTGGTAGGTGCTGTGCATAGGGAGCTAGGTACCACATGGCA